ACGCCATGCGGGATTAAATGCAGTCCAAGCAGATCATGTTCCAGTTCCTCAGCGTTCGGGGCCACACAGGGTGGGGCACAAGTACGCGGTTCATCCATATGATCCTGGTCAGCCATTTGCAAATCTCCCGTGTGGTCTATGCCTTGCGGGGTTAAATGCAGTCCGAGCTGATCATGTCCCAGGCCCTCAGCATTCGGGGCCACATCGTGAGTAGGGACTGTCGTTGGGAGTGTACTCTGGGCAGGGACCATTGCACAGCTGGGGGACAAACGAACATGGAAGGGCATAAAACATGGTGCTGTGGCTGTGTGCAAGCAGCTGGACTGTCTGCAGGAGGCATAGGAGCGGATGTATCCGTTTGGGACAACRGAACCGCAACAACCCSTGGAGGAGGCACAGAGAGAATTGGGGTAGACAAAGAAGCAGGCCGCTGATCCCTGGCCAAGTGGCGATGTTGTGCATGTCGTCGACGATGATACACAATAAGAGGAGTACAAACCTACCGTGATAGAGATACTACACGGTCCAAATTAAAAACTTTTCAGTCATTAGTCCTTTGGAACATCTGTTAAAACTCAAAAGTTGAACGATACAGAGAAGATTAGGATGGCCCCTGCACAAGGATGACACATAAATCGAGAAGGCCCCAACAAAAACAGAGAAAAAAAAAGGACATTGCCTCAGATAGGCACCACCACTGTAATCACATCTGTTCGTCATCCATAGAGAGCCCAAGCCACAAAACCGGGAGGAATCACTGCAGAGTGCTTTTGTTCTTTGAGCTTTGCTTTCTTTGCGCTTAAGACACTCTTGTTTGCCGCAACGTGACTCTCTCTCTCTCTCTCTCTCTCTCTCTCTCTCTCTCTCTCTCTCCTGTCATCTTTTGCCCTGCCTATAATCTTCCACCTAGTCCATGTGAGCTTTGCAAATGTTTGCTGCTTATCTGTTCCCGTAAGACAACACACCTTTGGATGGACGGAATGCACCAATGTCTATCACGGCTTCATACCTTCTGTGCTTCTAAGCTGGTCCAGTTGAACTAACAAGCGACAAACACTGACACAGATCCCAAGCCACGCCCTAATTTCAACACAATTTCATTTTTCACCGGTTGCCAGTGGATGGCAAGAACGACTGTGATAGATGTCATCACATTCGCTACGAACAACTCCAAGACATTGTGTGGCATGTATCTGCTGTCGTCTTCGATATGCACAACTCCACAAAAAAAAACATGACTGGACCACACTGTTTCATTGGGCTTTTGCTCACTCGGCAGGAGGTTGAACTCCGACAGTCTGCCCAGAATGCATTTGACTGATGGATAAGGACTCACCACACCGCCCTGCGTTAGTGACACCCCTGAGGAAAGTGGCTGACTTTACTCACACAAACCCTGTGTGACAATGTGACACTCGTGAAACTTCACACTGAAATGTGTATTTTATTGTTGTATGTATCTGTGTGTGTGCACTGAATATTGACTCTACGCAACTCAAAATGAAAAGCATGACAGCGCCAAACTGTTTCATCCAACTTCCGCCAAGTCATGTGTCGACGTGTGTTGTCATACTACACATGACTTCACAGAAAAAAAAAAAAAAAAAAAGACTGTTGTAGACTGTTTTGTCAGACTTTCACCGACTCATCAGGTGTGCGTTCATGTGTGTTTGTGTCTGTGCGTTTTAGAATTTGTGTCAAGACTGTGTTGTCAGACTTTCACCGACTCATCAGGTGCGTGTCTTTTCAAGGAACCCCGGATTCTCTCTCTCATTCCCTCCAGGACTCGTCATAAACCATCCATAAAACGAAAAAAGTAGAGATAGGTAATATAGTAAAAAATGCAAGGTTGGCCTCATTTGTGTGGTTCAGCATCAAGTGCCCACACACCCGTCTGCCGCCAAAGCGGCACACTTGCACATATACATATGTATACATATATCGTCAAACAGAGCTGCCCGGTAAACCGTAGGCAGAGAGGGAGAAGAGGACAACAAACGAGGGGCTGTGACAAATTGTTTCGTCAGAGTTTCACCGACTCATCAGGGGGAATACATATTTCGTAGTCCATAAAAGTTGTGTGTTATAAAATATCACCACAACTTCCCCTATTCCACCCAGATGAGTAGATCCAAAGTCATAGCAACTTTTCCTGTATTGCAGACAATGAAGCATTCTGAAGGTGAGCCAATCCACCAATGAAACAGTTTTGCTTGTGAAGTCAATATCTATTCAGAATGTGTGTGTGTGTGTGTGTGTGTGTGTGTGTGTGTGTGTGTGTGTGTGTGTGTGTGTGTGTTTGTGCGTGTTTAAACTAAAATATTCCGCATGGAGAGAAAGAATGCGATAAAAGAAAAACAAATGTCAAACTGACCGTTGCTTTGAGCTGTTCCCTGAATTCAGGATTTGCAAAGTCTCTATCGGTCACCAATAATTGTGAGCAGGGAATGTCCAGCTGCAAACACAGTAGACACAGACATAGCACCCAAGCCAAAAACAGAAAGCAAACTTAAGTCAGAAATTAGGGTCCCCATTCCCCCCCCCCCTTTCTTACTTCTAAAGCAGTCTCAATTTAGTAATTTCCATAAAAGGACTAAAGCAGTCTCACTTTCGTGATTTCCATAAGGATGACGAGGTTCCGAATCTTCCGAAGAAGCACAGCAACAAGATTCAGGGGCCCGATGGCGGCCCACATGGGAAAAGTTAGTGGTGTTTTTTCACATAGATGACCAATCAAGGCACGGGTTTTCATTTCATTTGATAAACGTACTTCAACAAAATGTGCTATTTGGTGCTGGCAATCCTTTTCACGCATGCATACTGCACGTGTCCAAAGACCTCACCTTATGTGCCTATGGGAACAGGACGCACATAAAAGATAGCACTGAAATAGGCATCAAATGTATCAACAGCTTTCGCTGCATTAACTTTCACTGCACCATCAGCAACTCCAATTTCCTTAACATTGTTCAACAGTTCAACTTTCAATCTGTTATTGCCTTTTGCAGAATCCCTCTAAGAAATCAACAGCAACTCTCCCCGCGTTATCGGTTCCAATTTTCATTCTGTTTACTGCAATAGAACAACACTCTGTGGACTTTGCGTGACCACAGTCAAGACCCATGCCTGAGGGATAAACATGTAGTCCGAGCAGACCCAGCTGAAAACCAGGGTTTGAGTGTATGTAAGAATTGCGCGTGTTCCAGCCCCACACAAACGACCAGAGCTGCAAAACAGAGAGAGAAGACCCCCCATTTTCCACCTGTCCAACATGTAGACCAAGCAGACCCAGCTGAAGACCGGGGTTTGCACCACACAAGCGACCGAGCTGCAAAAGAGAGAGAGAAGACCCCCCATTTTCCACCTGTCCAAACCCCTACATGTTCCACAATAATACCCCACCTCCCTTTAGGGATAGCATCCCACGATTCATTCTCTGGAGGGTGGTTTGCCCCACCCGCACTGCACAAGAACCAGACCACACCCCCCCTGTTTTCCAGCTCTCGAAACCCCTACAAAGGGATGGCATCCCACCATGCAGTTTCTTAAGCACCCATACAAGCGGGCCTCATCGAAAAGCCCAACCTGACACAGATTTCATACCACACACCTCCAGACACAGGCGGAACCATACAAGTGGTCACTGGTCACTTGTGGGGCATGGCGCATCGGAAAATACACGAAACAAGGCAAGTAAGTAGCAAGTAAATAGCAAGTACATACTAACCGTAGATGTTTCCATTCAGTAACCAGAGATCCTATGGCACACATCACTTGGAGAGCACACCGCATCATCATTCCGGGCACCAGCTCAAGGACTTTGGGACTGACCTGATGAAAGAGTGTTTCGTAGAGTGACATGAGACCATTTTGACCAATCGCAGCACAAGCTTTTCCATGAAGTTCCGTCTGGTTGTTCAATCTATCAAGAGGGCTGCAAAACAAATAAATGTGCCACAAGGAAGGGATGCCAAACCAAGCACATTATTATCAATGAAATAGTCAGTCTCATCGTATAACATTAGACCTCGAAGAGATTCCTCGGCACGTTATGAAAGACATGCAGAATGTGCACACCAAGTATGTCGACTTCGGATGGCCAAAGCTCGAAAGAAAATGGGGAGAAGCAAAAAGAAGGCCGGGTTGCTTGCATTTCAGATGAACAGGAATGCAGCCTCTTGTATGGGACTCCACATTTCGAAAGTCTGGAGCAAAAAGAATGTGGGTAGAAAAAACACTTATCCATAAACTTATCCAATGCACACTGATCCGATGTGGAAAAAGCCAGGCAGAGAGCATTCATATGAATGACTTCGGTGTTTCGACATTCATATTCTCCTCGATTGCGTGACAAATGCAGGAGTTTACCGTCATCACATTCCCCGGTATTCGACAGGTGTGGTATCTATCAGAAGCTTTGCCAAAGATTTGAGTCGTAAGCTTTGCTCCAAAGCAAAAATTAGTTTACCTGATGGGCCCCACCCCCGCAAGGCTGCGAAGGGCCAGTAACACCATGGATTTTGATTATGAAATACTAGACATAGTCAAAGAGTTGAAATCAGCAAACCCTAAAAAAAGAAAACGAAAAGTGCGTGGGGCCCACCTTCATGACACCCCCACCCGCTGCAGCACGAGGACAAAAGCCCACACAAATCACAACGGACGTCCGTGCGGAAGAGCGAGAAGTTTCAAAGAACAGCCAATCGGATAAGATAGACAAGAGCTAAATAACTGAATATAATAAAATAAGTTAAATAACACTGTAAGGAGATAAAGATGAGAGTGCAGGTGAAGTTTCGGAAAACAGGAAACGGGATAAGATTTGCAGCAGCTAGATCACTGGATATTGTACAATATGAGCTCGCTGAATTATATGTAAATTTGTAAAAATATATGCTAACGAAATCTGCGGACGTTTCCACCATAGCCATGCTCCTCTAACGTAACATCTAGATACAGATGTGCAATATAAGACAATCTACTCACGTTTCCCCTACAGCCATGCTTCTCTAAGTCTGACTTTCAAATACATCATATTAAATTTAATACATTTTCATGCGAGGATCTGGGTCCTCGGCAGGCCTGAAGGGCACCTGTTGTAAGAGTGCCCACCCTAAGTGAAGGCGGGCCTAACATATCACAAGAGGCCGTCGACTGTCAAATTCATATTTGGGGTCCAGGCAGTTGCGACGCGTCAGTTGGTTGAGAGGAACCCAGGCCGAGCAACAAAGACATTTCTACGGCCTTCTGGGCCTTTCCAAAGAATGCAGGCCCCGGGCGAGAATCGCAGCATCATACACTGACAGTTGGGAGGCCCAATCGCAAGAGGCCCAGTAGCTGCACACAAGCGCAGCATCCTGGGGCCTACCGGAAGCTTCTGGGCCCAGGCCCAGCCCAGCCAGGCTGCGTGAGAAGGCCAGCTCTTTCCATATAGGGAAGAGCTCTCCCCGGCCTGGCTGCTAGCATTGGAGCAAGAGGCTGCGCACGTGCGGTCGTGTGGTGAAGCAGGGCGCTGCTAAGGGCAGCGCCATAGCCCAGCCTCCATAGCTGGCTGTGGGCTTGGACATACAGTGAGGCGCAGGGGTGGTCTTCGGGTGTACAACAAATGGAGACGTGGGAGAGAGTCAAGGGGGAGAGAGAAGGATGATAATGATGATGATGTGAGGGCACATACCTGGTATTGGCGATGGTTCTGCATGGGCGACATCTTCAAGTACTTCGGGTGCTGCTGACATCAACAGTTGCATTGTCAATTAGTAGGCTACCGGTAGTAGTAGCTGTGTAGGGAGTAGGCTGGGCGCCGAGCGCCAGCTAGGGAGAGACTGGATACATATGTTGGTGGTGGCGAGAGCAAGCTCTCATTGACATTGACTTTCAGTGCCACGATTCTCCATTTGTTATATTGGTGCAATGCTGCTTCCTGAACACTGTGTTACCATTTGGCTTTCAATGTGATTGTGCAATCTGAATATTGTCATCTCGCTTCTGTTCATATTCCTTGCGCTTATATCATATTTAAATAATTTAATTGAGTGAATGGTTATGGGGGTTGGAGTACACATAAACACCATACAGAATATAATATGTATATGTAATATGTATTCATAAAACAAAACTGCCTGGTAAACCGCAGGCAAACAAAAAGAAGGGGACAACAAATGGGGGGGCTGTGACAGTCTGAGACTGTTCCGTTGGAATTGCAGGCTCACCAGGAGGCGGCACCCTCTACAGTCTGCGACCGTACATACATATATATCATATATCATCTATTGAAACGGTTTTCACCTTTTAGCAGTAGCGAATGCAGTACCCAGGGTTCGATCCCTAGACTCACCCTACCCATGTACAGTATCTGTGTAGACCCCGAGAATTGAACCTGTGACCTGTGTATTCGTAGGCAGCTGGGAGGCCTGTCGTAGGTCCATAGGCAGCAGGGGTTCGATCTGTAGGTCTATAGCGTAGGAGTCTTAGTGAGTTCCGGAAGCTTAGCTGTAGACCTTCTAGAAGGTAGGCAAGTGGGCAAGTGGTCAAGTGGTGAGGCAAGTGGTGGACTAAACCGCCGTGCAACAACAAGTACAACGTCGGTAGGATAGCGATGAGTCCACAGTCAGTCAGCGGAAGGTCCAGTCAGTCCCAGTCTGGTCCAGCAAGTACCCACAGGGGGACTGTGAGCACCAAGGGTCGATGGCAAAGGGCAGACCAACGARTTTCTGAAGTATAAATCAAGAGGCAGCGCCCAGCCATTCATTCATTCCTGCGTGAGCCATGCGGAAGCGCTGCCACAGCGACTTGTGCAAGGAGGTCTGCAGATGAG